TCCTTACCAGTCAGTTCAGTCTCTTCCTGTCAGCAGCTGAGATGTTGCTGCCCCAGCAGGCCACACCATAGAAAATGGCTGATGCCACAACAGAGTCGTAAAAAGTCTGAAGGAGTGCCCCCTGCTCCCGAAAGACCTCAGTCTCCTCAGCAGAAAGAGTCTGCTCTGTCCCTTCTTGTACAGAGCAGCAGAATTATCAGTCCAGTCCAGTTTATGGTTCCTCTGGCACCAGAGGGTGAAGTCCTGCGTCAGCTCCCTGTATTTCCTGTCGTCCTCGTTGGAGATGAGGCCAACGATGGCGGAGGCCTCAGAACTTCTGCAGGTGACAGGTTGCCGTGTTGTGGGTGAAGTCTGCAGTGTAGAGGGTGAAGAGAAACGGTGCCAGCACCGTCCCCTGGGGGGGCCCCCGTACTGCTGATGATGGTGTCTGATTGACACTCCCTGGTCCTCACGTACTGTGGGCGGTTGGTGAGGTAGTCCAGGATCCAGGAGGTGAGGTGGTGATCCACTCCCGACAGCTGTAGCTTGTCCCCCAGGAGCGGGGGCTGGATGGTGTTGAAGGCACTGGAGAAATCAAAGAACATGATCCTCACAGTGCCCCCCCCCCCCCCCCAGGCTTCTCCAGGTGGGAGAGGGACCTCTGCAGCAGGTAGATGACGGCGTCATCCACCCCGATGGCAGGCTGGTAGGCGAACTGCAGCGGGTCCATTGATGGTGCCACAATGGGCCGGAGGTGTCCAAGGACCAGCCTATCCAGGCTCCAGTCACTGTTGAGACCAGTTCAAACCGGTCCAAGCTGGAACCCAGTCTGTGAAACACGGACTTCATGTCATGTTAAGATTATTACTTATTATAAAAACTATATCATTATTACTGTTGATACTTGAAGTACATTTATCAGATAATACTTATATATTATTATGAAATGGGTCAGTGTGCAGAATGAGTACTTCTTGTACTTTAACCCGTGTGTGGTGTTTCTTTGTTACTCAGCCAGTGTTCGTGGGTCTGGTGGACCCGCTGCCTTTCTGGGTTTCGATTCAACACAATCAAACTATTGTATGTCAAAATACTCAACAGATGTACTTCATCCCAATTACAAGCAATATAAACAGCATGGTTCATATTTGCCCTTTTACATTTGTTAGATCACATTCATGAATTCAAGTGCTACTCGTTTACTGGCTGGTCCTGTGGCTCGTGTTTTTTTTGTAACTAGCTGATGCTCAATCTCATCCTCTTCTTCAATCTCATCCTCTTCTTCAATCTCATCCTCTTCTTCAAAGTCACTGTCAGACTCACATTCTGAAACCTCTTCCTCAACATCATCATCATCAATCAATCAATCAATGTTTATTTATATAGCCCAATATCACAAATGTTACATTAGTCTCAGTGGACTTCACAGTTTGTACAGAATATCAGTGACAATACGACCCCCTCTGTCCTTAGACCCTCTGTCCTTAGACCTTCTGTCCTTAGACCTTCTGTCCTTAGACCTTCTGTCCTTAGACCCTCTGTCCTTAGACCTTCTGTCCTTAGACCCTCTGTCCTTAGACCTTCTGTCCTTAGACCTTCTGTCCTTAGACACTCTGTCCTCAGACCCTCTGTCCTTAGACCCTCTGTCCTTAGACCTTCTGTCCTTAGACACTCTGTCCTTAGACCCTCTGTCCTTAGACCCTCTGTCCTTAGACCCTCTGTCCTTAGACCCTCTGTCCTCAGACCCTCTGTCCTCAGACCTTCTGTCCTTAGACCCTCTGTCCTTAGACCCTCTGTCCTTAGACCCTCTGTCCTTAGACCCTCTGTCCTTAGACCCTCTGTCCTCAGACCCTCTGTCCTTAGACACTCTGTCCTTAGACACTCTGTCCTTAGACCTTCTGTCCTTAGACCCTCTGTCCTTAGACCCTCTGTCCTTAGACCTTCTGTCCTTAGACACTCTGTCCTTAGACCCTCTGTCCTTAGACCCTCTGTCCTTAGACCCTCTGTCCTTAGACCCTCTGTCCTTAGACCCTCTGTCCTTACACCCTCTGTCCCTCTGTCCTTAGACCCTCTGTCCTCAGACCCTCTGTCCTCAGACCCTCTGTCCTTAGACCCTCTGTCCTTAGACCCTCTGTCCTCAGACCCTCTGTCCTCAGACCCTCTGTCCTTAGACCCTCTGTCCTTAGACCCTCTGTCCTCAGACCCTCTGTCCTTAGACCCTCTGTCCTTAGACCCTCTGTCCTTAGACCCTCTGTCCTTAGACCCTCTGTCCTTAGATCCTCTGTCCTTAGACCCTCTGTCCTTAGACCCTCTGTCCTCAGACCCTCTGTCCTTAGACCCTCTGTCCTTAGACCCTCTGTCCTTAGACCCTCTGTCCTTAGACCCTCTGTCCTTACACCCTCTGTCCCTCTGTCCTTAGACCCTCTGTCCTCAGACCCTCTGTCCTCAGACCCTCTGTCCTCAGACCCTCTGTCCTTAGACACTCTGTCCTTAGACCCTCTGTCCTCAGACCCTCTGTCCTTAGACACTCTGTCCTTAGACCCTCTGTCCTCAGACCCTCTGTCCTTAGACACTCTGTCCTTAGACCCTCTGTCCTTAGACCCTCTGTCCTTAGACCCTCTGTCCTTAGACCCTCTGTCCTTAGACCCTCTGTCCTCAGACCCTCTGTCCTCAGACCTTCTGTCCTTAGACCCTCTGTCCTTAGACCCTCTGTCCTTAGACCCTCTGTCCTTAGACCCTCTGTCCTTAGACCCTCTGTCCTCAGACCCTCTGTCCTTAGACACTCTGTCCTTAGACACTCTGTCCTTAGACACTCTGTCCTTAGACCCTCTGTCCTTAGACACTCTGTCCTTAGACCTTCTGTCCTTAGACACTCTGTCCTTAGACCCTCTGTCCTTAGACCCTCCTTAGACCCTCTGTCCTTAGACCCTCTGTCCTTAGACCCTCTGTCCTTAGACCCTCTGTCCTCAGACCCTCTGTCCTTAGACCCTCTGTCCTTAGACCCTCTGTCCTTAGACCCTCACATCGTACAAGGAAACACTTCCAGAGAGAAACCCCACAGTTTAAAGGGGAACATGGGAGAAACCTCAGGGAGAGCAACAGAGGAGGGATCCCTCTCCCAGGACGGACAGACGTGCAATAGATGCCGTGTGTAAATCAAAGAGATAATACATTTACAGCATAGGTAGACCAAATGTTTGGAAATGCATGTGTCTATAATAAGAAGATGAATCCACGAGGATATCCATCCAGGACTTATGATCCAGGACCACAGCAACAGGATCAGCCACGACTCCGGATCCCGGCGTAGATAGACACCAAAAATAAATGTTGGGGAAGCTGTGTTATTGGGAACATGAGAGTACACAGGTACAGACAGAGAGAAGGAAGAAGTAAGGTGTCCCCCGACAGTCTAAGCCTATAGCAGCTAAACTAGGGGCTGAATCTAATCAGCCCTAACTATAAGCTTTGTCAAAAAGGAAGGTCTTAAGCGCACTCTTAAAAACAGATAGGCTGTCTGCCGCCCGAACACAAACTGGAAGCTGATTCCACAAAAGTGGAGCTTGATAAGAAAAGGCTCTGGCTCCCATTGTACTTTTAGAGACTCTAGCCCATTAAGGGCTTTGTAGGCGAGAAGAATCATTTTAAATGCTATCCTGTGTTCTCTAGGGAGCCAGTGTAAGGCAGCCAGAACAGGAGTAATGTGGTCCCTTTTCCTAACTCTGGTTAGTACACAAGCTGCAGCATTTTGAATCAGCTGAAGAGACTTCACTGACTTCTTGGTACACCCTGATAATAAAGAGTTACAATAATCCAGCCTTGAAGTAACAAATGCATGGACTAGTTTCTCTGCATCGCTTTGAGGCAAGATATGTCTGATCTTTGCAATGTTACGTAGATGGAAGTAGGCGGTCCTTGAAATTGATTTTATGTGGGCGTCAAAAGATAAATCCTGATCAAATATAACACCAAGGTTCCTTACAGTCTCACTGGAGGCCAAATGAATGCCATCCATAGTTAGTATATAGTTACAATCTTGAATCTTGAATGAAATCCTGTACAAAAAGAGTTCAAATAACTTTATAAATAATTTAAATATCATTAATTAGCTGAGGAGCTGAATCAATCTGCAGTCAACTTTTATTTAGTTATTTTTTAAATTAGGCAAGTTGAAAAGTCAAACCTATATTTACAATATAACTGTCGGTCACCAGAGGGAGCCAAACTGTTGAAAGATAAGACAAAGCAGTTCTCCGGTCCTCTTAGGTGGATTTTTAAGGATAAGTAACATTTGGTCGTTTTGTTTTCTGTCAACAAATCTCATTAAAAATGACCAAAACCAACAAAGTGTTTGCCTGAACACTCAGCCCTAAGTCCATTTCTACATGTGTAATAATGATGCAGGAGTAACATTCCCATCTTAATGACAGCTTAATGTTACATAATATTATGTTACATATGTTACATGCATTAAAGTTATGATATAAGTTATGATATAATACAAATAAAGAGAGTTACATACATTTCTAAATACATCCTGTAACAGTTCTAAGGATTTAGCAGCCAGGTATATATCACACAGTTATTAACGGCATATATATTGCACATAGTTGGTTGGTATTTAACAGCAAGGGGTGTTATAGTCTGTGTTGTTGTGTGTGTGGGGGAGGGGAGGGGTCTACTAGGGGCTGTGCCAAATAGAGACATGCAGGGTGGGCATGTCCAAAAGATAAAAGCCGCTTTGTCCCAATTAAGGGACGCATTATCCATATTATTAATATTATTATTCTTAACTACTTCCGACACTTACAGGTTGTACTGCCAATGGTGACGTGCAGATTACTGCTTTAGTCACGGATGTGGAGACATGTCAAACCTCAGGTCACGTACCTTGCTTCCTTGGGGGAAACAATGACGTGTGTGTGTGTGTGTGTGTGTGTGTGTGTGTGTGTGTGTGTGTGTGTGTGTGTGTGTGTGTGTGTGTTATGTTAATATGTATTGTTACAGCCCTCAGGTTCACAGGATAACATCAACGCAGCTCACAGACAGGTTTAAACACAGGTCTGAAGTGCGCTAAGACGAAGACACCTGGAGTATTGTTTAATCATCAGGTATTTACTATTATAACTATTGAATGTGGTGTTTGTAATGATGTATTATAATGATTGTGATGTTTGTCAACTTGTATAGTTTAGTAATAAATGTCAAACTACTGTAATGTATTTAAAACGAAACAAGAAGTGATGATGCCCACACCGGGTGTTTCCACCGTGAAAGAGAAGAATATAGAGATTTAACCGGGGAGTGTGACATGTGTTCGCTCTGTTTGGTGATACTGACGTAGGCTTCTGTCACATTTAATTTAAAGCAGGTGATCTAGGTGAAGCCAAGTTTATTTATATACCTTTCAACACAAGGCAATTCAAAGTGCTTTACAAAAATGAAAGACATTAAGGAAATGGCATTTCAAAACAGTCATCACAGCAAAGATAATAAAATAAACATTAAAAGAAAAAAATACATGAATAAAAGTTACAGTGCAGTTTAAGATGTGAATAGTTCAATTGAAAGCAGCGGCAAAAAGGTGAAGGTGAAGGCGCTGCACTCTGTCAGCATTACAGGTGCTTGACACAAATCTTTTTACAACACATGTAACGTACTGTCTTGAAATTATAATAATATTATAATTGTTGCCGGGATGTATCCTTGTACTCTATGTACAAGGATACACAGTACATAGAGTACATCAGGGGTGTCAAACTCAAGGCCCGGCCCGCGACTTCATTTCATGTGGCCCCACAAGAGCTTGCAAAGAATATAATATGTTTATTATATGGTTACATGCTACTTTACAGAAGCACGTTGCCCATAAACGACATCTAAATGTTGAGAACACGGATTGCGAAAATATACGGGTCGTGTCCACAGCACACAAACTGATTCTGCTGTAACAACAAGTGCACGTTACTGATGCAATATGGTTGAGACCATTCGGGCTTATGCTATAAGAGGGGTGCAAGGAATAGTCTAAGTAGTGGGGGAGTTTTATACACTAAAGGTGTGGAAATTCTCTGGCGTTATAATATCAGCGCGGCCGCGGTCAGATCAAAATGCCTCCGAATGCAATTTGAATAGACCTACAGCCAATCAGAGCAACGAAACGTTGGATCTGCGTCATGCCTTATTGATTGAGATCAATCGAAACCGCCATTCAGTATCCCCATTGGATCTTCAACGTGTACTATCATACGTCACGTTCACAGTGATCCCTTTTTATTTACTACAAGACAAATGTGCCGTTTTATTTCATACAGTTCCATTTTGATTGAGACAGGGAAATAATCTAAACCTCACGCGTGGCGTTTCACTGTCAAGGTGGGTAATATAGCGTGTATGTAATTACATTGCAAATACTGACTTGAGCACCACCACTGTATGGGTTAGCCCTACCATAGATTACCCAACAAAAATGCTCTTGCGCCGCCACTGGATGTGGCCCGTGATGAAATTGAGTTTGACACCCCTGGAGTACATAGAGTACAAGGATACACAGAGTCTTGTATATTTCCAGGGAAAATCTGTGTGGACAATCAATCAACAACTTTATTAATCCTGCAAGGGGCAATTGGTTACGAGCAGCAGCTTGTGTCAGGTACACAGGCAGGAACATACAGGAAGAAAACAGCTGTGCTGGTTGTATAGTCTGACCGCTGGAGGAAGGAAGGACCTGCGGGGGTGCAGCAGCCTGTCGCTGAAGGAGCTGCACAGTGAGGACAGGGTGTGGCAGGAACACAATCCAGTCTTTTTCCAAATAGAGACATGCAGGGTGGGCATGTCCAAAAGATAAAAGCCGCTTTGTCCCAATTAAGGCCTTAACTGCGTTAAGGCTCACGCATTATCCATATTATTAATATTATTATTCTTAACTACTTCCGACACTTACAGGTTGTACTGCCTATGGTGACGTGCAGATTACTGCTTTAGTCACAGAGGTGGAGACATGTCAAACCTCAGGTCACGTACCTTGCTTCCTTGGGGGAAACAATGACGTGTGTGTGTGTGTGTGTGTGTGTGTGTGTGTGTGTGTGTGTGTGTGTGTGTGTGTTATGTTAATATGTATTGTTACAGCCCTCAGGTTCACAGGATAACATCAACGCAGCTCACAGACAGGTTTAACACAGGTCTGAAGTGCGCTAAGACGAAGACACCTGGAGTATTGTTTAATCATCAGGTATTTACTATTATAACTATTGAATGTGGTGTTTGTAATGATGTATTATAATGATTGTGATGTTTGTCAACTTGTATAGTTTAGTAATAAATGTCAAACTACTGTAATGTATTTAAAACGAAACAAGAAGTGATGATGCCCACACCGGGTGTTTCCTCCGTGAAAGAGAAGAATATAGAGATTTAACCGGGGAGTGTGACATGTGTTCGCTCTGTTTGGTGATACTGACGTAGGCTTCTGTCACATTTAATTTAAAGCAGGTGATCTAGGCAAGCCAAGTTTATTTATATACCTTTCAACACAAGGCAATTCAAAGTGCTTTACAAAAATGAAAGACATTAAGGAAATGGCATTTCAAAACAGTCATCACAGCAAAGATAATAAAATAAACATTAAAAGAAAAAAATACATGAATAAAAGTTACAGTGCAGTTTAAGATGTGAATAGTTCAATTGAAAGCAGCGGCAAAAAGGTGAAGGTGAAGGCGCTGCACTCTGTCAGCATTACAGGTGCTTGACACAAATCTTTTTACAACACATGTAACGTACTGTCTTGAAATTATAATAATATTATAATTGTTGCCGGGATGTATCCTTGTACTCTATGTACAAGGATACACAGTACATAGAGTACATCAGGGGTGTCAAACTCAAGGCCCGGCCCGCGACTTCATTTCATGTGGCCCCACAAGAGCTTGCAAAGAATATAATATGTTTATTATATGGTTACATGCTACTTTACAGAAGCACGTTGCCCATAAACGACATCTAAATGTTGAGAACACGGATTGCGAAAATATACGGGTCGTGTCCACAGCACACAAACTGATTCTGCTGTAACAACAAGTGCACGTTACTGATGCAATATGGTTGAGACCATTCGGGCTTATGCTATAAGAGGGGTGCAAGGAATAGTCTAAGTAGTGGGGGAGTTTTATACACTAAAGGTGTGGAAATTCTCTGGCGTTATAATATCAGCGCGGCCGCGGTCAGATCAAAATGCCTCCGAATGCAATTTGAATAGACCTACAGCCAATCAGAGCAACGAAACGTTGGATCTGCGTCATGCCTTATTGATTGAGATCAATCGAAACCGCCATTCAGTATCCCCATTGGATCTTCAACGTGTACTATCATACGTCACGTTCACAGTGATCCCTTTTTATTTACTACAAGACAAATGTGCCGTTTTATTTCATACAGTTCCATTTTGATTGAGACAGGGAAATAATCTAAACCTCACGCGTGGCGTTTCACTGTCAAGGGGGGTAATATAGCGTGTATGTAATTACATTGCAAATACTGACTTGAGCACCACCACTGTATGGGTTAGCCCTACCATAGATTACCCAACAAAAATGCTCTGGCGCCGCCACTGGATGTGGCCCGTGATGAAATAGAGTTTGACACCCCTGGAGTACATAGAGTACAAGGATACACAGAGTCTTGTACATTTCCAGGGAAAATCTGTGGACAATCAATCAACAACTTTATTAATCCTGCAAGGGGCAATTGGTTACGAGCAGCAGCTTGTGTCACGTACACAGGCAGGAACATACAGGAAGAAAACAGCTGTGCTGGTTGTATAGTCTGACCGCTGCAGGAAGGAAGGACGTGCGGCAGCCGCGGCGCCAGGATTTCAATTGTGGGTGGGCCAATGTAATTTCGGCTGGGCCTGTTCTAATAGATGTTTCTCGTTAACAAAAATGTAATAAAAATAAATGCCTGCATATCATTGTAGGCAACTGTGTAATGCATATTTCCTATAGTAAAGACACTTTTTCAAAACCCTTCTCTTTTAAACATTTTCACTTATGAGAAGCTTAAATATTATTTAAATGATTAAGCGGCACGCCGCAATGAGTGAAAATAAATGTTATACTGCATGTTATTTAGTTTTGGTTCACAATACATTGATACGTTTAGAAACAAAGAGCATACAACGGCAGAATATGGAATAATGAGCGAGCACCTGATGTGTGTCTGTGTGGTTAGACTGCAGCCTGCTGTCCTTTAGCGCAGGGGTTCCCAACCCCCGGTCCGCGGACCGGTACCGGGCCGCGGAGGTGTTACTGCCGGGCCGCGAAATAGCTGTGAGTTTATCGTAATATTTGCAGAATTATAAATATATAAAAATATTTTATCATAATATTTTTTTCAAAAAGTGTTTAATTTTCGCACCTATGCCACCAGTCATATTATTTCATCCAGTAGCTAGTTAATCTTTCACCAGAAAACCGTTGAAAATGGCTTTTATGATGTTCCGAGGGATTCGGCGGCTCAGCCTAAGGTCTCAGCCTCTTGTGCGCACGAGCATGTTACCGGTGCGCCAAGTAGGAAGAGGAGCGCACAGGAGACAACCGTTTGATTGCAGACTGTTATGTTTATGTGGGGAAATGGTGGTGCATACATTATTTGAGATATATTTCAAACTCGGACTTCATTTTAAGGACATGTCGGCCAGGAGTGTAGAGGGAGCTATTTGTTTAAGCACCGGATTGGCAAAACAGGAGAGTAAACCAGTCTGCCTTGATCTATGAATTAATGTCCGGGACTCTCACGGTATCTGCTGCCCGCAGCTGCTTTAGAGAAGGAACACCTCCTTCACTTCATGAAATGGCTGAAGCATCAGGAGGCAGCGGGACGTATACTCGGTAAAGAGCTGTGCCTTTTTACGCACCGCCTTCGCTGTGTTTAACTTAATCAGAACAGTTTAAGAGTGACTGCAGGCTGCTACGTGTTAACCACACACACATCTACACACATCGAACTGCCCGATTACTCCCCCTTTTATTAGTTTTATGAAGGATATGTCCAGTCAGTCACCAAGGCGCATGATGTGTGTGTGTATGTGCTCTGCTCAGCTCAGCTCTGTGTGTTCGGTGTGTTTGTGTCTGTCCGACACCGGCATATGCGGCTGTTCCCAAAATAAATTAGTTTAATCTTAATCTCGATGTAGTGCTATGCTGTCGGGAGTGCACCGGAACGAACGACACTATCATAATATCTTCTGAAAACAAATGCCAGTGACACACACACACACACACACACACACACACACACACACACACACACACACACACACACACACACACACACACACACACACACACACACACACACACACACACACACTGGCGACCGGACATCTCCTTCATAATGCGCCTTCTCCTCGTTTTCCCAGCATTCACTGGATTATCCGTAAATCATACAAACAAAACCAAAACGTTGATTTATCTGTTTTCCCGTTTTGGTTTAAAAACTGAATAACGTCGGTTTTTTGGTTTTCCGAAAAACCAAAAAACAACACCGGTTCTTTTTTAAACTTTGTTAATATGTTTTGGATGCATATTGTTCTAGTATTTGTTCAGGCTGTTACATACAATTAGCCTCTGTTGCTACCTGCTGGTGGTGAGTAAATATTAAAATCAGTTAAAATTGACAACCGGTCCGCGATTTTTTTTTAATGTATCTGCCGGTCCTTGGCACAATAAAGGTTGGGAACCCCTGCTTTAGCGGATCTAGCGAAGTGAGCGGCCGTGCGCAAAAGGCACTGGTGCTCTGACGCGGCACTTTTCAGAGGCTGCGGATTTATCATTAGGCTACTTCCTTCTGATACTGCAGAGCTTTTGGGCAGCAGACACTGTTGCTTCACACTCATAAGCTTTGCTGATTTGGGCTGGAGAATGCGTCAGGGTGCGCTCTGGTAGTTGCAAATGGCACCACATTTTAGCTCTACGTTTCTTAATCATTTCCCTAGATATTTAGTCTCAATATGAAATGAGGAATCTCTTGCTTTGCACACGTGACAATTATGTCCGGTAAAACTTTACGTGTTCCCGATTTTTCTCAATGATCTCTCCCTGTCGGCCCTCTGGGTTGAGTAGCTGATGGAGGATGGTTCCATGGTCAGACTTCTCGCACTGTCTGTAGTTTGTATTTCTCTCCATAGCTATTGCATGAGCTGCGCTGCATTCGTGTTTACTGAGAGCATAGTCGATATGTTTCCAGTCCCTGTAACCATGGCGACTGAATGTATCTTCTCCGCCGGCCCCGCCTCTCACTAAAATGCCGGCATATTTTACAAAACACACTGTCCTTGCTAATGCTATACTCCAAGAATGTGTTCTTGTTATACCAGTGGGCAGCGGAGCTCCTTTTCTTTTGTCCAAAAAGTGTCTGAGGGTACTTTATGAGATGTGGCTGTGGAGCCGCCGGGTCATCTATGGCTGAGAGGTCCGGCACTGGGATGCTATTTTCTGTTGACCTGCAACGGGTGCTACGTCCCGCAGAGGGGCTGAGTTCAGCGGGGCACAACATTAAACACACTCTCGTCTCTCTAAGGCGGCACCTGCTGTGAGGATGACTCTTCTTACTCTTTCAAATGAAAACCTGAACATCGATTGTTGTGACATCGTTAGTGAGTGCGGTATATTTGTTGTGTCTGTCCAGTCCACTGTCCTCCATCTGCGCGCGCCCGCGAGACGTTCTACGATGTGTTTGCTCCCGCGCTTCCACTATGAGTTCGGTCCAAATTCACATTTTACGTTGCCTGATTACATTAATTCATGTTGCTTTTAATTTTCTACGTTTTTTTTAAAGGGAAACACATGTTTGCTCTTATTTTATTATGTAATCGTTCGTTAGTGATAATCAAAAATAAAAATGTTGGAAACTATATTTTCGCCCAGTCATTTTTGATCAATGAATGGGTGGGCCCAGTAACAGAGTGGGTGGGCCTAGGCCCAGTAGGCCCACCCATAACGCCGCGGCTGACGTGCGGTATCTCTCCGTGAGACAGCGGGGGTGCAGCAGCCTGTCGCTGAAGGAGCTGCACAGTGAGGACAGGGCATCTGAACCTTACTCTCCAGTGTTGCTCACTTACTTTTGCAAGCATTAAAGTTCTTGGTAATAATAATAATACATTACATTTATAAAGCGCTTTTCCTGGTGCCCAAAGCGCTTAGAATCAGTAGAGAAATATATGGATATTGTGTTTGG